TTTTTGTAAATAAAAGACATATTTTTCATTTTCACCAGTAACTTTATTGATTTGGATATTTTGAGTATGTTGGCTATCTCCTACATAGTATAAAATCGACTATTCTCAATTATGTCTCAATTTGATCGCTGTCAACTACAACTGGTCCACCCAACCGTGGAGCATCATCATCCAGAGAGAAATCTCCAACATGAACATTCGCAAACCACTTTTGACACATTTGATCAGCCACAGCACTTTCTCCATAAACTGCACTAATCTTTTTTGTGTTTCAGTTGCATTTTTACCTTTCTTGAAATAATAAAGCTTAATATGCTGAAACAGTGTATATTTTCTTTCATCTTCAATATTAAAATGGCTACACAAAAATTCACCAATTTTGATAAGGTTTTTTTAATGCACGCTGATATGACAGCTGTCACAACACAACCTAACAAAATTGTTTCAAATGAAGTTAAAGATAACTAAGCGCTATTAGAGCCATCTTACAGAAAAAAAACACACGAACTTTTTAGCTAACCCAATACTTTCTGTCTCTATAGATTTGCCTATTCGGGACATTTCATATAAATGGAATCACGCAATATGTATTCTTTTGTGACAAGCTTCTTTCATTTAGCATGTTTTTCAACACTCATATGTGATGTAGCATATATCAGTACTTCATTTTGGCCAAATAACATTCCATTGCATGGATACATCACATTTATTTCTCCATTTTCACATGATGAATGTTTGAGTTGTTTCCAGTTATTGGCAATTGTGAATAGTAATGCTACAAACATTTCTGTACGAGTCTTTCTGTAGACGTATGTTTTTGTTCCAAGTGATTTTTGCAGAAAGTATTTTGATTATATTTCCACTGACAAAAAAAAAAGCTATAAAATATTTAATAGGTTTGTTTTTCATAGAGGTATGGCTTAGCAATTCTGAAACTACTTTCTGTGTACTCCATAACTAAACAAATGCACTCATGCATCACTTAACGATGCGGATCCATTCTGAGAAATGCATCCTTAGGCGATTTCGTCATTGTGAGAACATCACAGAGCACACTCACACAAACCTGGATGGTATAGCCTATTGCTCCTAGACTACAAGCCCGTATAGCATGTTACTGTACAAAACAACATGAGGTTAAATCAAGCACAAGAGAAAATTATGCAATCAAAGGACATGGCAAACACGAGATGTATGAGGCTGTCACCTGCATAATGCAGCACACCGTTTTACAGCAAACATTTTTTTTGTGAGTAGAAAGAGTATATTCTAAAATAACATTAAAATGTATAGTACAGTAAATACATAAAGCAATAACATAGTTATCATTATCAAGTATTATGTATTGTACATAATTGTATGAACTATACTTTTTTATATGACTGACAGAAAGGGTTTTTTTTACACTAGCATCACCACAGACATGTGAGTAATGCATTGCACTATGACCTTAGGATGGTTATAATGTCACCAGGTGATAGGAGTTTTTCAGCTCCATTTTAATCTTATAGGACCACTGTTATGTGTGTGGTCTGTCCTTGACCAAAAAATGTCACTCATCAATTCATGACTGTAAATATATATACTGAGGAGAGTGGAAGTCAGGTCTCTCATAGTCAGAAAAAGGAATCACAAATACGAAAAGGAGATTAGAATAAACACTGTGGAGTTGGAATGAAATTAGAGATACTACTATGAACTCATGATTTACATATAGATAGTTATTTAGGAATAGAAATAGACACAGACACAGATATAAATCCTAACTCTGTCTGCGGAGAGGGCCTACAGGTAATGATACTCCAGTAACAACAAGCACCCCTGGTGCCCAGACCATGGTTTCTAAATACCATTCTACACTAAAATGAATCAGGACTCCTTGAAGAAATAGCTGTTTTCAGGGCTGGGAGAGAAAAAGTACAAGTTCAGTCTGCAACAATGTGTTATGCTAGGATATAAAGTAGTGTTCAACCGTGGCTGGTGTGGCTCAGTGGATTGAGCACCAGCCTGCAAACCAAAGGGTCACGGGTTCAATTCCAGGTCAGGGCCCATGTCCAGGTTGCAGGCCAGGTCCCTGATTAGGGGTGTGTAAGAAGCAATGGATTGATGTTTCTTTTCCTCTCTCCCTCCCTTCTCCTCTCTCTAAAAAATAAATAAAATCTTAAAGGAAATAAAGAATGGTGGCCTCATATTAATAAGAGCCAGCTTGAAGGGACTTGCACTAGACACATTAGCCAAATCTGGGACAATTTGACCATCAAAATAAATAATTATAACTGTGGACTTAAAAGTAGGTGTGTAAATTTTTTTAATCAGTACTACTTGGAAAATAAAATGACAACCACATTAATTAAATAATTATAGTAATGGATAAGTTACTGAATGAAATAGAAGTTCGTAAGTCCAAACTGATACAAATAAATAGGAAATAAGGGGAAGCAATTCCTTATCGTAAAATATCAACTGAAAAATATAAAAGAAATTATGGCTTTAGGCAATTATCATTTGGCAAACATAACATTAATTGATTCAGGCAAGGGATCATCAATGGATGCTGAAATTAATGGGTAAAAACAACAGGATAAACAACAGGATATTTGTATAATATTAAAGCATCTCCTGAAAAAATTCTTAATAACTCTAAAGGGGAAAATAGTAACAACTAAAAATTTGCACACACTGCCTTCATCCAAACGGCCTGAGAGCAGCGCGGTACACAGGGCTGACTCACACCCACTCGGAAGCAGCGCACCTCTTCCCAGTCCTGTGTTCAGCGGTAACACGACCATGATGGGACTACCCGCGGTGCGAGGTCAGCAAGGTTACAAATCAAGGCTTTTTGCCCCTGGAAAACCAACTGTTCGTCACTTATAAGCGTAGTACTGGATCAAAGTCACTACCACGAAACAAGCTGACTTTACGTGCTTTGTGATATTGCACACCAAGGACAACACAACATCACTTTTGCGGCATTCTGCCAAAAATGAACACTTCATTCTAATGATGAGAAACCATAAGGAATAACCTAAATTGAGAGACATTCTGCAAAATATCTGGACTGAAGGAAGAAATCACATTTAGAGAAAAATTATAAAGCAAATATGCCTAAATGTTAACCAAGGAGAATATGGAGGCCGAACATGCAGTTAGTTCTTTGTACTGTTCTGCAAAGTCTTTCTGTTAATCTGAAATCATTTACAAATTAAAAGTGTGTAAGAAAAACACTGTGAACCCTACCTGGTCCTCTGCCCTGCCCTGCGGGCTTTGCAGCTGCAGGTGGAAGGAGGCAGTGAACCAGGACTTTGAGGCCTCAGGGCGCCCAAAGGTGCGTGGTCACAGCGGAAGCGAAGCAGCGTCCCCCAGCCACGGGCCCGGGAACCACCTTAGCCGGACTCCCCACACAGGCGCGGGCCAAGGGCTCACTCTGCACCCTGCCGCCCCACCCGCCCTCCAGTCGCAGTGGCCGCGGGCGCAGGGGCGTCACACCCTCCGCGAGGGGAGCGTGCAGCTTGAGGCTCTGCAGGGACTGCAGGTGTGAGGGCCGTGCCCTGAAGACTCAGGACGCGCTCGCGGCCCGGCCACGGGGAGGGGGGCCTGCCCTTCTGCAAGCACGTGTTGCTGAAACCCCACTCCTACCGGCAAACCCAGTGTTGTAACCCCCATACTCACCTTTCTCTTGATTTCGAGCCCTGGAGCTGCGTGATAGCACTCACAGGCACAGAGGGAAGTGGGCACCTCCCTTGTGAAGACAGAATTAAGTAATGGAATCTTCTTTAAAAACCTTAATATTTTTTTCTTTAAGATTTTATTTATTTATTTTTATACAGAGGGGAAGCGAGGGAGAAAGAGAGGGAGAGAAACAGCAATGTGTGGTTGTCTCTCGCATCCCTCTCACCGGGGATGTGGCCTGCAACCCAGGCACATGCCGACTGGGAATCGAACCGGCGTCCCTTCGGTTCACAGGCCGACAATTCACTGAGCCACACCAGCCAGGGCCCAGAACCTTAATGTTTTCTTAATGTTGTCTTCAAAGGCCTGATGTTTGTGGTCCAGGTGCTGCTGTCTCCAGTGAGGGCTGTGACAACCTTGACCAATACCAGCCGGCCACTCCCCCTGGGGGGAGGGTGTTTATGGCTTTTCTCATTATCTATCAATTAGCTGGAAATTGAGCAAAATGTGTCCCAGCAAAGCCTGTACTGATCTGCTGCTCTCTGCTCAAGGAACACCAGAAGATAGGCGGCAGGCGGTGAGGTGCGCCAAAGGTATTGTGCTTTTGCCACTTACGGGTTACAGTTTTTGATAAAAGGTGATTCATAGGATGAAGTCATCATATTGGAATTCTGAGGTAAAAATAGTAAGTTGCACAGATAACAGACTAACGTACTGGTAAACGATGATGGTTATTATAGTTGCTTTTCCAAGTTTCTTCATTCATCCTGTGTAGACAAGGAGGATTATTTCCATTGTCTAGCATAGCATCTGGACATGGTAGGCGTTTGATAAATATCAATGACTTTATAATGCCCTGCACATTCTGCGGAACTGGAGTGCTCATTCTCCCATCACCTGTAAATCTGAATGCATTTTTACCTATGTTGGCACTGCCGTCATTCTTTCAAATATTACTTTGTAAAATGAAACTCTGTGTTCTTACTGTTTCTGGAAGAAATTCTGAGGTTCCAAATGATCTCAAATGCTGAGCAAAGAGACTGAAAAACATGATTACGATCTGTTTCATTCTGTACTCATGGAATCTGATTATGTTTACCTCTCTTTATATATTTTTCCTTTACCGCCTCCCTCACCCCCACACAAAATGAAAGGATCTGATAATGAAAAGGGTGAAGGAAAGATGACCGTTTATTTCAGTTGAGCAGGCAGGCATGTCAAACGAATTAAGACAGAACACATAATCAAAAATATATTGGGAGGGGGTAAACGGATCCCTTTTAATGATTCACAGCAACCACATTTATCTTCCACTGTTTCTGGAGAGAAAAATGTCTTCGGATAAGCAGTGGTCAGCAGATGAGGACGAAAGCCAATTATCTCGACTGATGAGGAAATCTAGAGATTCCCCCTTTGTGCCTGTAGGTAAGTACAAGCCTTGACTGAATACTGGAAAACTGTTTGTAATAGTATAGTCATGCTTTACCTAGCAGTATCTTTGAGGATGGAAATGTTTTATATAATGGAATTTTTTCAGATAACTGAAGCCAAACTCCCTAAGCAGAGTTAAACTTTCAGAAGTTTCTACTATATGGCAAATCCCCAATAACTGCAAAGCTATTATTACAAAGCATCAGGTTTTATTCTATTTAATCCATCTTCATAAGAAGTCTGACTAAAACTATTAGTTCCCAGCCAATCTAAATGGAATTGACTGCATGGACTTTAACTCTGTGGTGACTCGGGATAAGCAGCAGCAGCACCCGGAAAGTCTGTTAGGGACTAAGGAGATGGATCTCTCTCTGTCCTCTAAGAAACTCCAGCCTTTTATGTTCTTGTGTCTGATATTTACAGATTTTTCCATTTCTTCCATATTATTGGATATTATTAAAAACTTCTGCTTCTGATGTTTTCTGGCCCTAGAAGCTAGAAACTAGAAACCCAAGGTTAAAAGAACTGTGTCAATTCAGAGCGAACAAGCTCTAAGCAGAGCCCGGGCCTCCCTGTACACTGGAGAGCATGAACTTTGTGGGGTTCGTGCTCAGTGGCCCTCCTTCCTGGCTTCCGGATCTGCTCCAGGTGTTGAGGTTGATGGTTAAGTAATCTCTACATTAAAGAAGTGGTATTAGAATTATACCTGGAGTCTTCACCTCCTTATCCTTTCCTAACACATATTTAGTATGTTTATATTTTCCACAAATACTAGATGTATGTGGGCTTTAAAAAAAACCCAACAAAATCTAAGCACCGATATTGTTTTTACAATCTAAGCTTCCCCTTTCTTTTCTTTTGGATGGTTCAGCTGCCCTAGGCATTGTTATTATACACTGCAGCCATGACTCTTTCCTTATGTTCATTTTGTCTGGAAACTGTTAAAATAACCTATTTCAATCACACTCATATAACTTTGTGATTAATTCCATAAAACCTTCTAAATAGGTAGAAGTCATATGTTTCCATTAAATGTCCTTGCAAATCTAGCAACTTCATGTCATTATTCACATGTCAACAAGAATAAAAATTTTACTTTATAATTATATTCTGTGTTTAGAGATTCCATTTAAATTAACTAACACTTGTAATAACACCCACAACAAATTGAAACATATAATTTTATAGTGATTTATTCACCTTCCTTAGCATTTTTAACTAGACAAACAGTTCAAGAACCTGATGCCATTTGTACAAATCACTATAATGAGCAGAGATTAATCACTGTGCCTGTTGTAAATTAAATTATTTTTCCAGAGACATTTAGGGTGATTAAAGTAGAAAGATAAAAGTGTTTCCAGCTAAATTCAATTATATACAAACTACAGAGACACTGTATGAAAAACAGTAAGGGTTCTGACTTTAATCTCTAAAAGAAACAAAACCAATTTACGTAAGAACAGAACCTTGATTCGATAAGGGAAGACAACCAAGTTTTTGCTAGGAAAATAATGATAAAATTTGGGTATATATTATTGATTAGTTTGTTTTGCTACTGTTATTTTAACAATATCTGTGTAGCCCCTGGTACAGAATGGAGCTTTCTACGCAGATAGTTCACAAAACATTTTTTCTTTGTCATCTTCAACAATCTCCATCATTACCATCTATTTATATTGTTTAGAACTGTCCTTCGATCACTGTTAAGACTTGTGCATACATTATGTGTATTTAAACTATGTGTTGATAGATTGTTTTTGCTTCTTTCACTTAACATTTCATATGTACATTTCTGTGTATTAGTACTTCCTATACTTACAATTTTTTTATGGCTATGGCAGATTTTCCTCTGTTTGGGCCACTTGGGTTATTTAGTTTTTCCTCATACATTGTGTAGTCATAAACATCTTTGTATGAACTTCTTGAATTTTCTTTTCCTTGTTTCCTTGGAGTATGTTTCCAAAGGTAGAATTTCTAGGGCAGGAAGCATGTTCAGTTTAATATTGCTAACTGTGCATTTCCAGAATTCTTTCTAGAAAGATTTAGTTAAACTTACAGAGCTTTCAGTATTGTACCTGTCTCTCAATGAGCCTACCATCATCATTTTCTTTTTGTTTTTTATTAATCCTCACCCAAGGATCTGTTTATTGATTTTAGAGAAAAAGGAAGGGAGAAAAAGAGATAGAGAGAAAAGTGTCAATGTGAGAGAGAAACAACAATTCGTTGCCTCCCGAATGCACCCTGACAAGGGAATCAAACCTACAACCTAGGTATGTGCCCTGACCAGGGATTGAACTCACAACCTCTTAGTGTACGGGACAATGCGCCAACCAACTGAGCCACTTGGCCAGGGAGGGTTATTTATTTTTTTGCTGTTTATATATATATATATATATATATATATATATATATATATTTGTTATTTTTATTTCAATATCATTTATTGCTAGTAAGTCTATAAAATACACACGTTTTTATTTACTGATTCTTATTTCCACTTAAGTGGATCCTAAATTAATAAATATAACTTTGCTCATATATAGAGACACACATGTGCCAATTTAATCAAAACTTGCTATCCTACATAAATATCATTTGAATTTCCATGTACTAAGAACAAACATGTGGAAACTGAAATTAAAAACATAATACCCTTACTCAAATTAGAGGAAATAACTTTTAAAGCACATAATTTGTGAATTTTCCTTTTCTTTCCCCCCTAGGCAATATCTTTTATTTTTTACTGTTCAATTACAGTTGTCCCATTTTTCCCCCATTACTCTCCCTTGCCCTACCCACCCCCCATCTTCCACATTCAATCCTCCCCCACCCTGCTGTCTTTGTCTACCGGTCCTTTATACAAGTTCTTTGACTTGACCCTTCTTCCTTCCCCTATTGGCCCCCTCCCCCATCCCCTCTCGTCACTGTCAGTTTCTTTATTTCCAATTTTTTAATTTAAATAGTATCATATAGTAAAAGTGGTATTGGAAAGAATTTTGTGAAATTCGAGACACTGGAATATTTGAGCAATGTCAAAAAAAAACCCACCCCACCTCATACTACTACTTACAATCACTTGAAAGAAAAATGTTTAGGTATGAGCTTAAGAAAACAGGTACTATATCTGGCCCTTGCTGGTGTGGTTCAGTGGATTGAGTGCCAGCCTGCCAACCAAAGGGTCACTGGTTTGATTCCCAGTCGGGGCCCATGCCTGGGTTGTGGGCCAAGTCCCCAGTAAGGGGCGTGCAAAAGGCAACCATACACTGATGTTTTCCTCCCTCTTTCTCCCGCCCTTCTGCTCTCTCTAAAAATAAATAACAAAAATCTTTTAAAAAAATAAAGAAAACATGTACAGTATCTGTATCCTGAAAATTACAAAATGTGAGTGAAAAAAATTAAAGAAGTCTTAAATAAATGTACAGACAATTGTATTTCTGGATTGGAAGGCTGAACATAAAGATGTCAACTATCCCCAAATTGATCCATAAGTTTGGTGTAATTCCTATCAAAATTCCAGCCAGGTTTTTTATAGACACAGACAAACATTCTGAAATTCACATGGAAAGGCACAAGTCATAGAATGGTTAAAATGATATTAAGGCTTACTGTACAGCTGCAGTAATCGAGACAGTGAGGTATACATGGAGGGATAAATGCATAGATCAATAGGATAAAGGAGAGAACCCAAAATATAGACCCACGCTTTTGTTATGCAGGTTTTCTTTATTCTTATGTCAAAATATAGCATCTGTCTTTGTCATTTTAAGTCTACCTTACCCTCTTTTAGCTATTATAAATATGCTATTCTATTTTCTTCTAGTTTTTGTTGATATTTTTCTTTTTACATTTAGTTCTAACTCAACCAGAATTTTTTTGTAGGGTCCGTTGTGAGATAGAAGTCTAAGTTAGTTCTCTAGGCCAATAAATCATACTAATAATATTTACTGAATGATTATTCCTTTATGTTATTTGGTTATTTTGATTTGTCATGGGTTATCACAGTGTTTCAAATCTCTCTCCAGGATCTTTACTATTCAGTTGATCAATTTTCTGTTTTAGAGCCACTTATATAGGATCTTGGTTGTCACAGCAGTATTTTCATTCCTAACATTTGCAGGGAATACGGAAATATTTGTATGGGTTCCCGGGATTTTCTAGAATCACAGTTCTTCCTGGGATCACATACTTCCTGTGCATCTCTCATTAAAGGTTAATGTCTCAGTTTTACAGAAGATTCAAGTTTTTATCACTACTTGATCTACTCCTTCTTTGATAACAGGTAGAAAGGAGTAAAACCAAACGCTGAAAAGCTAAGGCTGCTGGGATGTTTGATAGGTTTACTCACTAAGTGACTTGCCCAAATAAAAGCCTTGTAGCATGTGCAATTTGAAATCATGCCTCAGGAAATTTAGAAATTACTAAACAAATTACTATACTATATTGTTCAGGTTTTCTGGGGAAAAGCTAAACTGCAAATATTGAATCCATGAATGTTATGGGTCCATTTAAAAATCTGGCTAATCAAATCCCGCATGGTTCTTTCTAAAGTATCCCTTGGTATCTTGCCTGCTCATCTTCCAAGTACTATTCCTTTGCACAATCCTTTATTTAACTCTCTAGGCTCATGGGAATTCTAGCCTGCTAGTTATAGAATCCCTCCTTTTTTAATTCACAGGGATAGCAGGCTTCATGACTGTGGTGTCCTATGGTCTTTACACGCTAAAGTACAGAAGAGATCAGAAAATGTCCATTCATCTTATTCACATGAGAGTTGCTGCCCAAGGATGTGTTGTAGGAGCTGTGACTCTAGGTAACCTGCTTAATTTGTATCTTGTGTACATCCGTCTCTGACAGTATTTTTATTCATTTTATTCATTCATATTAGAAGATGAATATTGGGTCATGATGATATAATGATGGAGGACTGGTAAGAAAAACAGTTTCTTCACTTGGTTGCTGTTGTTGCTTTGTAATAGGCTTAATTTCTTAAAGTTTTAAGCACTGAAAAAAAGCACAGTAGGCAGAAAGTACACACTTGCAGTTATAAAATAAGTCATGCAATACAACAGCATGGCAACTATGCAATAATCCTGTATTGCACATTTTGAAAGTTGCTAAGAGGGTACCTCTTAAAAGTTCTCATCACAAAGGAAAACTCTGTAACTATGTAGGGTGATGATGTTATCTAGATTATTGTGGTGGTCATTTCACCATATGTATAAATATCGAATCATTGCTGTACAGCTGAAATTAATATAATGTTGTATGTCAATTATACCTCAATTCAAAAAAACAACAACAACAACAAAAAAATGGAAACCCTGGCTGGATGTTCAGTTGGTTAGAGCATCATCCCTATATGCCAAGGTTGTGGGTTTGATCCCCAGTCAGGACACATACCAGAATCGACCAATAAATGCATATATATAAGTGGAACAACACATCGATGTCTCTCTCTCTCTCCCTCTTTCTCCCTTCCTCTCTCTCTAAAATCAATTTAAAAATTAAGAAAAGAAAATAATATTGAGAGGAAAAAGAAAATGATTAGGGATGATTTGCAAAGGAGGGGAGAAAATAAAGACAGAAGTTAGATGATAACTGGGATCTGAATTAAGGCAGGCAATGGAAACAGAGGAGATGGATTCTAGAAATATTGAGGACTCGGCAACTAAGTGATTGGACAAAGTAAGGAAAGAGGAATCAAAGATAATTCTCAGGTTTCTGGTTTGGGCAACCAGATGTAAGGGTTGCCTTTCACTAATACAAAGAACAAAGAAAGGGCAAGTTTGGTAGGAGGATGAGTATGTATCAGACAAAACAATAATACCTAACACTTAATGAGTGCTTATGATGTGCAAGTCACTCTAACTGCTTTATATATTATCTCATTTAATCTTAACAAATCCCTATTTTGACACCACCTGGTATGCTGCAATACAATTCAATACTGATGCTAACCATCTGGAGCTCACATCATATGCCACAGGTTTAGGGACACAGTTCCCCAAAAGACTGCCCTTACTTCAGACACCAGCCTTTGGGGGTCCCCAGGCCATCTGCACTTCTGATAAATGGCTACAAATTCAAGGGTTCCCAAGATCCCCTCACGTTTGATTATTTCACTAGAACAACTTGCAAAACTCGGGAAAGCAGTATACTTACAACTATATTTTTTCTGTGAAGTACACAAATCAGGACCAGCCAAGAAGGGCAAGGTCTGGGAGATCGAAAGCTCAAAGCTTCTATGCCCTCTTCCTACAGAATCAAGGCATGTACCCTCCCAGAGTAGCGATGTGTTCACCAGTCAAGAAACTCCACTGAACTTCAGTGTCCAGAGCTTTTCCTGGGGCTTCATTATGTAGCCATGGTTGATTGAATCACTGGCCACATGATGGACCTCAGTCTCCAGTCCTGCTCCCTTCCCTGGAGATCCAAGAGCCCTCCAGTCACACGGTTGGTCTTCCTGGCTGACTAGCCACATCTTGAAGCTACCTACGAGCCCACCGTGAGTCTCCGCATGAGCATAAATTCAGGTACGATCCAAGGAGCTCACAAATAAGAAACACACTCCTGTTACTTGGGAAATTCCAGGCATTTTAGATCTATACCAGGAACCCTGAACAAAGTCCAAGGTCTTTATTAAACAATATCCTGTGGGGTAGGTACTGTTATTATCCCATTTTACAGATTAGGAAACTAAGGCTTAGAGAAGATAAATTACTTGTTCATAATCACATGGGCAATCTACTCCAGAGCCTGAACTCCTTTTTTTAAAAATTGATTTGAGAGAGACAGAAATATCGCTTTGTTTTTCCACTTGTGTATACATTCATTGGTTGTTTCTTGTATGTGCCCTTACTGGGGACTGAACCCCACAACCTTGCTGTATTGGGACAATGCTCTAACCAACTAAGCTACCTGGCCAGCGCCAGAGCCTGAACTCTTAATTTTATATTATACTGACTGAGATGCCTATGGCAGATGCTTCCAAGTTGGAGCACTCGTACCCTAGCTGATGTATAAGGAGATCCATGGGGATATGGGAAGAAAATATTTTTATCTTAAAAACACAGAAGCTTTACTAATATACAGACTGACCATAGGACATTTATACTGTTTATAAATAAATGCGCATCTTCAGGGGCATGCTCAGTGTATTTACTTATTCACAATTTAAGTTTGGAGACCACCTTCCTATGGGATGTAGAAATACACATAAGGTACATTGAATATACGAGTTGCATATGGGTCTTGCACTCAGAAGAGACCTAACTTAGAGATCGAACTTGCTTACCAGTGAAGCCATAGATGTGACGTGGTAAGAAAAGCTTTGAGATCAGAACTCCTGGGAACACCACCACCGTTTAAGAGGTAGGCAAGAGGTAAGAATTCTCTGTCTAAAAAGTACAGGGGACAAACAGGGAGAGAATGCCAAGTGACGATGGAGGCAGAGACTGGAGTGATGATGCATCGACGCGCCAAGGAAGGCCAAGGGCTGCCGCACCCGTCAGAAGCTCCCGGGGAGGTGTGGGGCAGGTCCTCCCTCACGTCCTCCTCAAAGTACCAAGTCGGCTGATACTGAAGCCAGAAAAGCTGGCATTGGTGCTGGCTGTCACCAACCAATACGTAGAGCCAAGGATTGAATCTTTATGGGTGCTTTATTCAGATGCCGGTGATCTGAGAAGATGGCAGGCTATGTACCCTCAAAAACTATCTTAATATTTCATCTCGAGCTGACATTTTTATGAGAAGAAAGGGTAGGTAAAGGGACTGGAAAAAAGGGGTTACTTGGGTAAGAGTTGCAGTCCTGCAGCAATTTTCCTAGTGCTTCTCTATCTGCTGATCAACAATTCTTTCCCTCCGTTCCCTCCCGGAACACGACGGCTCAGACACGGCTCCGTCCTGGCCGACCCCCTGGAGTCACAAAGGTCACGCATTCCTGTTCCAGGCAGATCAGCTTTCCACCTACATTAATCACTTAAGCCTAAGAACCACAGCTAAGGCTAAAATCTTTAACTCGAGTTCCCCTATCGATACCTTGAGCCTCCAGAACGGTGAGGCAATAAATTCCTGTTATTTTAAGGCAAAAAGAAAAAGCAGCAGCAGCAGCAGCAGCAGCACAGGGAAACAAGTCTTACAATTCTCTCTGAATCTGAATCTGAGAATGTTATTTCCATTGATACTGCAATGATTCAAATTAAAATTTTTTTGTTTTGAATTTTATGCGTCTATGACAGTAATCATATATTGCGTTAGAAAATTATGTAGGCATCTCCATCACTGCTGAGATGAGAACAGCTGACTCACTGACACTTCATCCTCTGTGTACTCTTTGAAGATATTACAATCAGTGTCAGAAAGAAAGCAGAAGGAAGCTGAAGGATTCAGTTTAGACAATCTACTGAACAGCCGATCCCTTCATAACTGGTATCAGGGAGGGATGAGTTGTAGTTTAAATCTGTGATTCCTTAACTTGTTTGGGGTATAAACATTTGCTGGCATGCCTGGATTCAGCTCCTCTGCTCCTACTTCAGCCTTTCTGCTTGTCCCTAGGACCTCATCTTGTAGAAGATATATACCTATCTCCTCTGCCTAAACTCATAGCTATTTCAGCCCGTAGACTGTAAATCCCTAGAAGCAGAGATTAAACCTATTCACCTTTGTTTTCCTCGGGACACTGGGCACAAGTAGACACTGACAGATGTTTGCTAAATTGAGGTGCGTATTATTTTTAATCTTAATATCTAGTCAAATACTTTGACTTCCCTACCTTTTTCACCAATATTTTAAAATTCAAACTTTAGGGTGGCGTAGGGTGGTGAATTATAAATTCAGATTTACACTGATCTTAAATGGCTCTTAGTTTTTGGTGTTTTGTTTTGTTTTGTTTTGTTTTCCTGGAGCCACTTGTATAATCCAAACCAAAAATTAGTAAGATGGAAGGTGTTTTTGTTTGTTTGTTTTTAAATTGTGGGCTAGTTTTTGGAAAATGCAAGTGGAAGAAATTCAGTGTTTGCTTCCCATGGATGCTCTATTGATATACATCTTTTTGTTTCTAGGTGTTCTCTATTCTATGTACAAGGATTACATTAGACCTCGATTCTTCAATGTGCCCAAAAAATGAAGCTACATACAAAAAAGACAGGAAGCCTTCTGGAAACTATTATGAAGAATGAATTTTCAATATATAGCAAATTATACTGCACAAGTACTAGATAGACTTTTCATAGCCTTGTATAGTAAGTCTCAATTGTTTAAGCTGATTCCCACAGCAACAATCACAGTCAACTCAAAAATATCCTTGTTGATGTCTTTCAGAACCTAGGGCATGATTTTCTACACTTGATCTTAGCCAAAAGGCCGAGAGCGATAGGGCATGATTTTCTGACTTTCAAATTTTTATTTTATCATTAGTTACAAAAAATAATCTATGTTATGACAAACCAGTTTAAAATTAGGAGTTGACTACACAGTAGCTATAGAAATTTTGTCTATATCCATATTAAATTTGACGGTCTATTCGTTGCTTTATTCACCCCCAAAGGACAAGGTAACTAAAGCTTTCATAGACTCATTTTAGAATGGGCAACAATTACATCAGAGGAGAATGGTTATGTTATTTAAATTTAGTTCACCCCTGTGCACCTCACTCTTATATATAAACTTGACTATACTACCACAAACATAAATGATTAACATTTAAATAGCTGTGTATTCATTTTCCTATTTCTTTAAAGCATTTCTAGGGGTACGAAGGTAAATTGCTAAAAAAAGAAAAGAAAAAAATCCCTTTTCCACCAGATGGCAAAACAGTGGGGGTGAAAGGATTTAGTCTAGATATGCTGTTGCTAACCTCGTATGACGCTGTAGGAAACACAATAAACCAAAGCAAACACTACGTATTAAGTACAGCTCTGGCCTCAGACTCCTTTTTACCTGCCCTACATTCTAAATAAACTTACTAGACTTTGTTGAAATCATAACCGTCGTGACTCAGATATACTCCCTATGACGACAGGCCTGGAAAAGAAAACAAGCGAACAAACAAAAAATGCACTTTAAGACAATCTGTCGTGGTGATTTCCTTTTCCGTGCTGTTCTCCGTAGTGCAGGGTTATTTTGACAGGAAAGTGAAGTCTAGTATTTGAGAAAGTGAAAGATGTGGGAATACCTGAAAATAGGTCTGCATTCTAGGTACTGACTGTGTTTTATATACACTTCTCTCCATTGGCACAAGCAATTTTTTAAAGGCTGTCATTTGCACCTATCGCGAGGCTCCTCTAGTGCCACCAACAAAAACATGTATTTTGGTCAACACTCTCCTCCTTGATAAATGGGCAAGAATCCAACTACTTTATTCCGTTGGAGAAAATATCCCAAGAGCTGCATCTAATGTGTTCCATGATCACACAATGAAATGATCAGGCTACTGGAAAGATTTTCACTGTCTCAATAAATACGCAGCATTAAAATAGATTAACTGCAGTGTTTAATTAGAAACAGGTTTTTCTCACAAAACCCAACAGGTTCCAGAATTTTCTAATCTTACTGAGAGAATTAAAGTAATATATTTATTGCTTGAGAAAAGCAATGCAGAGTGTTTACTTATTAGAGCAGCTATGCACGAGAGGCCACAATTTATTAATATGGAGAAGAGCACGCAGGGTGACCACTCACCACGCCAGCGTGGCGCAGACGGAGGGCCACTGCAGGAAGACCTGTGGACAGCTTATACCCAGTGCCCGAATGTAAGCAATGCTTCTGGGGCAGAGCTTTGGGGCCTTAATATCATAATGTTTAAAGCTGAGATGGCTATTTTTGTTAGCTTTCAGCAACAATTATTAAATTGCATTTTTCTGACATTCTGAGTGTGCAACGCCAGAGCATTCACTTACAAATGGACTCCATAGTGTTAAACCCCAGGGACTGAGGGAGTGTATGCATCTCGGCTACACTTAAAATGGAGTATGTTGATATCTGTATAATCACGTAATACAGAAATCCAGATTTTTAAATCATACATTAGAGAATGATTCAATGTTTGTAACTTAGCAAAAAAAGTTTATCCAAAACTCACTCTCCAGACATCATTCTTTTCAACTGGTTTTAGCATGATTTGCTTCATTAACAAATTTTCTGATTGCAGGGTTTGTATGACCTGAAGGATATGCTTGTAAATTTTTGTAAACTCTAATCTGTTCCTAGTAACTTACAGTTAAAGGATGGAGCCCAGGCTGGTGTGGCTCAATGGGTTGAGCGCCAGCCTGTGAACTGAAAGGTCATGGGTCTGACTCCCAGTCAGGGCACTGGGTTGTGGGCCAGGTCCCCAGTTGGGGGCGCACAAGAGGTAACCAATAGATGTTTCTCTCCTTCGCTTTCTCCCTCCTTCCCTCTCCTAAAAAATAAAGAAAATCTTAAAAAAAAAAAAAAAAAGGGAATGAAGAAGAGTTACAGACATATCCCAAATACATAATCTCTGTTTAACCAACCACCACATCTTTTTAAGAGTTGCAAAACAATTTTTTTTTTTTTTGCCTTTTTTTCCTTTCCCCAAACATTCTGTGGGAATGAAACTACTGGGAAATGAAATTGTCCAGGGAGGAAGCAAAATGCAACATAGTGGTTCATCTAGAGTTGCTGTCTGGGTATAAAGGAACCAAAACGCTGAGACTCATTTTAAAAGTCTCTTTTTCAAGTAAAAGCTGCTCATTGATGTTAATTCAGTTTCATTTTTTTTAAATCAGAAGGATTCTAACCTTAGTTGCAAGGTGCTGCTCTTAGCAGAAGTTTCAAGGGTCCCTAAAGTAGAAATGAAGAGACTCTGAAGTGCCATCTCAGGGGTATCCTTGCCGCTTAGACGGCCAAGTCATTGTAAGGGAAGACAGGCACCTGTCCAGATTTTTTAAAAAGTCTTGTTAAAATACAGTAAGTTTTAAAATAAGGCAGAGAGGTCAGGCATTTAATTTTTATACTGAAAGAAGAAAATGATGCTCCGAGTCACACAAACTCAATGCCTTTGGAGCTGGAAGGAAGGGAGTGAAGCAGTGTATCCACCCTGAAGTATGTCCCGTTAAAAATGGAGAGCCGCCATTCAGCTCCGGCCAGCAGCACTTCCGCGCAGGAACATGAACCCGGAGTTGAAATGTTCTGACTTTTCAGATAATCATGCAAAAACTTTCCATTTTTAAATATTATATTTTTATTGTAAAAAAAAAGTAAGCAAAAACAATCCTGGTTAGGAAGAGGGGTCAAAAAGTCTCTAACCCACATGGAGGCAGGCCATTTGTGACATGTGGGCTAATCTTCCAAGGGCCAGTCTAGTTCTAATCTCATACTACTACTTGGCATAAATATCTTGAAATAAAATGTTTAGCATTCTCTAGGAGATTCAACATGAGAAATATAAGCCCCTCCTAGAAATAAGCTCTGGACCTAGAAATGATGTTGGACTGTTAATGGGAAAAGTGAGAAGAAAAGATATGGTAGGACTATACAAATATTAGAAAGAGAACTAATTCCTCCATTATCTTCTGTTGGGACTTACAACGTTAAGTATTAGATGTTTCTTCTTTTTATACTGAAAACGAATGCTAGAATAGGCTGCATTACACAATGAAGCATGGGAAACTGATCATTAATTATAGTTTCTGGATCTTGTTACTAGGTATTAAGCTCTTTGGAAAATACCATCATATCTCAAAAAGAATTCAAGAAAAGCAACGGAGACTAACAATTGTAAAGCACACTGAAAACAAAGAGTAAAAATGACTGCTGAACATAAGAAATGTTTTCTTTAGAATGATATGCTAGTGTCAGTTGTTACTGAGGGTCTGGTTAAAACTGAATGAAATTTAACTGGCCACAGTCAAGCACCACTTTAAAAGGTAAGTCAATTTGACCAGTTCATGCTGAAAAAGAGCATTTACTCCCTTTCTTTTCTCACTTGGTGATCCAGACAAAACAAGTATCTGATTTGCCTGAACAGTATGTTTTTTAAAAATACAAAAGATCTATAAATTTCTATAACCTTAAAACTCTACCCAAACTGGTATGTTCGGGATTACATAAATACATACGCATATGTATTTTAAAAATTCCAGCAGTTAAGACACAAGCCCATGGGGTGTGTGGCCATCACAGGCCAATCAATTAACTCTGGATGTTGTAGGACTGGCGTGAAGTGGGTGGGTCTCTGACCTACACTTAACAGCTGTTAGCTTTTAACACCCTTCCCATGAGGAAATCTTTGCCTTTTGTTCAAAACATTTGAACAAAACTCACCTCTGAACTAACAGAGATAATGCTAAAAGGACACTTGGCACAAGCGGACTAAGAGAAAAATGGTTCCTATACAGTCTCTCAGGCTGCCGGTCATCTAGACACAAGTGAGTCAGCATCCATGGTGTTCAGAAGGTAGAGTTCAGGCTGAGTTGTCAATCCCAGGTGGTACTATGGACAAAAAGATGGAAAAGGGTTAGACTGACTCGTATTTAGATATTTAACTTGGCACTTAAGTATCTATAAATAGCAAACCGATGGAGGCCTTTTTTCAGTACTGCTACATTGATTTTTCTTTCAGAAAAGAAATGGCTCACAGATACACAGTTTACAGTATATAAAGACTAGCTAGGAGTTGAAATAGTTAAGGATTGAGATAGTGCCAAATGCCCTTAGCACAATTTGTACTTTGACTATTCTTCTAACACACTTTGCCTCAGAATGGGTCATCTGATCAGGATATTAAGGGCAAAAGCACTGTTTTAGACTTCAGTACTGTGTGTGTGTTAGAAATCAAATTTCAAATGATCTAAATCCTGAGCCCCATTACCCTTTGGCACCTGAGCAAAGTCTTCCATTTAAACAAACAAACAAATACCCTGACTTGTGTGTTTCAGTAAATTGAGTGTCATCGTGCAAACCGCAAGGTCTCTGGTTCAATTCCTGGTCAGGGACATGCCTGGCTTGTGGGTCAGGTCCCTGTTGGGGGCGTGCTATAGGCAACCAATGTTTTTCTCCCTTCCTTCCCTTCTAAAAATAAATAAATAAAATCTTTTAAAAAAACATAAAATGGCATGTGCTAAGAGAAAGGGAGATGATGACCTATGAGACCCAAATGTTTGTCAGTCTGAATTAGAATCACTTCAGCTACTTTTAAAACACATGGCAGCTCACTCTGATATGGCTCAGTGGATTGAGTGCTGACCTGCAAACCAAAAGGTTGCCAGTTTGATTCCCAGTGCAAGGCACATGCCTGGGTTGCAGGCCAGGTCCCCAGCAGGGGGCACGTGAGACGCAACCACACATTGGTGTTTCTCCCCCTTTCTCCCTCCCTTCCTATCTCTAAAAATAAATAAATAAAATCTTTAAAAAAATTTTTTTTTAAAAAATGGCAGACCCTATTTCTGGAAACCGGAATCCAGATGGTTTGTGTTGGGATCTGTGAAGCTGTATTTACTCATTTTCTCTCCTCTGCATACACTCAGTGGGACAATCACTGAGTCTCATTTTAGCCCTACTGTTATACCCAGGGCTTTAGACATGTTATTGCCCCTTGGAACCAGCAGCCTGTAATGAATGCAGAATACAGACTATAAAGTCATAGGAAGAAAATATTCCTCTCATAGTGTAGTGGAAAGGGCACTGGAGTTGAGTTTAAGCTCCAACTCTGCCGCTTTGTATGACGGTGAGCAGGTCACGTATCCTTTTAGAGCCTTATCCTACTTGTTTGTAAAGTGGAAATAAATGCCACCTTTCCAAATTCCAAGTACATTAATATGCCATCTCATGTCAGTGTTCAATAAACATAATTTTTAACATATTACAGCTTGTCCTGTATACCTGACAGGCTTGTTTTGACTGCGTAAAGATGAGTCCAAATGGGGCCCAAGATAAAACTATTCCCAACTACTGGGCTAGGAGACACGGAGTCACACCGGCCTTACGGCAGAAAAACAGCTCTTCAGACTCCAGCTGGCTTATTCACTTTAGGGTTTTACATCTCAGGTTTTCCTTACCAAGAGCAATTGCCAGGCATACTGACAATCCATTGCAGTCTTTTCTCAAGTGAGCTAAGGTGGCGGGCTTCCTCAGTATGTAGCAAGCAAGCATTGCATTGTTAGTCCCATGGTCCCCAAAATACATTACTTAGGTTACTTCATAGACAGAACTTCTCCACTGGAGAACTTTGTCACATTGCTCTGAGACATTGAGAACTGGTGCTAAATGTCAGAGATATAAGCTAAGATACTTTCCAGGGCAGAGAAGTAATGCAAATGAGTAAACTTACTACTAGTTCTTAGCTATTGCTGGGGTGGGACCATAGAGGGCCCTGCCCATTTTCTATGACTGTGAAAAAAGTACTGTTTTTTGTTTTTTTTAATGTAGTGCAGGCCAAACAAAATTAGCCTACCAGTTAGCAACTTCTGAGCTAAACCACATATTCTAACACTAATCAGAGTATCAAGCAAATGCTTCTGTGTGTTCATGTTTCTGGGGCTGTTAAACACCAAAGCTTGGTATCTTAAACTCACGCGAAGCGTGTGCCATGTGTTATGTAGGATGGTTTGGTAATAATAATGTGGGCCCTGCAGTTAAGCTATTCAAGTTCAAATGTCAATTGCCCATTAGCGATGTAATTTTGGAAAGTTATTTTTTGGCCTTTCAGTTGCCTCATCTATATCAAAGTTGATCCTTTTGTTAAAAGAATTAAATGAGATCATGAGTGCTTTGACCAGGACTAGCACATAGTTATGTGTTAGCCGTTTTAAACACAGAGAAGCTAAGCTGTCAGAAGAAGCTGACACATTTTGATTCACTGGTCCTATCCAATGAAGGAGCAGAAAGAGTTCCAGAGGGCAGAGCTAAAGGGAGTACCTCAAATCGGGATCTTCAAATTATTTTGCATCCTATTTTAGTTCTGAAATTAAACCCACATTGAGAGAGAACCCTGGCCAGCATGGCTCTGTTGGTTGGGCATCGTCTTACAAAGCAAAAGGTTGCCTGTTCGATTCTTGGTCAGGGCACATGCTTGGGTTGTGGGCCAGGTCCCCAGTTGGGGATGTGCAAGAGGCAATCAATCAATGTTTCTCTCACATTGATGTTTCTCTCTTTTTCTCCCTATCTTCCCCTCTCTCTAAATAAATAAAATCTTTTTTAAAAAAAAAATAAGAGAGAGCTAAATGAGGTAAGATGACAGAGAGAATAAAATTCCCAGATTACTTCTATGGTGTTATGTAAGTACTCAGCTCCTGTAATACACGGAAAGCTTGCAACAGCAAAAGGGGAAATGAGGTTCTACTGACACTTGGGACAAATGAAGTGCTGGCTTAGATTTTTCCACCATGGATCCGGTGACAGGGCCAGTTCAAAGTGCCTGAACTTGTCTTTGATTTACTAAATGGGACCAACAGTATTCCCATTTATATTGGGTCTGCCAAAATGTTCATTCATTTTTAAGCTAAACAAGTTTGGTTTCTCTTTTCAAATAATCCTACTTTTCATTGGCTGTATATACAGAATAGAAACACCAATTTCAAAGGTGAAACAAGACTACAGGGAGAAAAATGTTCACTTCAGAGCAAAGAAGGCAGAATAACAATTTTTTTCAAGTTTAAATATGGTAATGATGTGACCATTACTAACAGCAAAACTATTTGACTCAGTGGGTAAGAAGAAATGAGTGCTTGGTGTCTGCAAGTCATCAAGTCTTCTAAGGTCTAAACCTACTTATTTCTCTATCCTTTCTAAAGAAGGACTACAACGGTGCGGGCTTACTATGTCATTCCAGGTGGCAGTTGATGTTTTAGTATTTCAGAATTGTTGAGACCCTCATTAATACTGTCAAGGTTAAAAAAAAATACCCAGGAAACCAAACCGGAAAAAGAAAAATGTTTTTAATTACAAACCAAGTTTACATATTGTTAAATGGTCACTAAAATCTCAGCTGTAACCACTCCTAAAACTACTAGCACGACCTCACAGGAGCCAAACTACATCCCTGCCCCATCCCTGCTAACTCCTGGTAGGCTGTAGCAGCACAATTATCTCATGTCACATTTATGGAGAATAAGGACCGATTAACATAAAGTACAACTGTATATTCTTAAACATTCCACACAAAGACACTGACAGAACACACCGCATGTGCTGGCGCTGAGACATCTGAAAGGTCTGAGTGTCGCTCACTGCAGCCAGAGTACTGGCTGCAATACACTGTCTGAGAGGATCTAACAGAATACAGCACGGGAGTTTTTAACACTGTCAAATACTACATACAGAGTATTATAAAATGACATTTAATTGGGAAGAAATTTTCCATCATTGCAAGTCATAAATACAATTTTTAAAAGAAAACTGGCAGTTTTTACCTGGGCTTCTAAATATTTGTGACTTTGAGACTGACTGGGCCCACCCAGGCTTAGGGCAAAGGTTAAATGTTTTTGTACTGTTTTTACAGAGAATTTCTGGGTCAATCCAGCCTTCACCTACTGTGGCCAGACCTACTGCAGCTTAAGATGTGACTCTCCGATATCTCCCCGGGGGGGGGGGGGACACAAGGAGGGACAATTAGGAAAATTTGTACATCGTGATTCTGGGCTACATTAGTTGAGTGGCTAACGTAAAGGTATGTCAGTGAAACAGCAATTTACCCTTGAAGACTTAGAGAAGACAGTCTGTCCACTCTGCATTTTTGACTGTGTGCAAAATGTCAGCAATAATGCTTTTAGGTGCTTGCGTGAACAGAGAACACCAGCCCACCAGGACTCCAGAAGAAAGCCCACTCCGAATGAAGTCCTTCAGCACTGCTCCCGCTACTGCCCTCATCAAGTCGGCAGCTATACGAGACTTGATTATTTATTTCCATCACACCAATGTGATTTGATCTGAGATAATCACATAGTCTCTGGCTCCACATGTAAAAATGTCGCCAAGTGGCTGAAGAGCAGAAGCTTCATGCCGAAGGGACCCATGTCCTCTGACTCCAGGGCTCCACCATCTGGTCTCAGTTTTTCCCTCTGAGGGAATGGCTGAGGGGAGGGGGCCCAGAGCAACCTTGCGGAGGGAGAACTTTGCAACCACAGTGATACTTAGTGACTTGCTGAGAGTCCACAGCTCCTGAGGCTGCCTTGCAAGCCGTCCCGGGCAGACTTCAGGAAAACAGGACGATTCTGGTAGGAGGTGGCTTTTAGGAATAGAACAGATGGCTCTTCTTCTTTCAAGTCTTTTCTCCTTACCCCAAAGTCTCATGAGAACATCAGTTTGTAAACGCTACCATCTTTTTTCCACCACCCTCCTGGAGGAGGAAGGTGACGGTTTTACAACTACCTATGCTCAAGACTAAGTATCAGGAAAGTTCTGTGTAAAACATAAAGCTACTTAAAATCAGGACTCCCAAGAAAATCCCGATAAACTAGTTCAATCTCTGAGGAAAATCTTCTAAGTGATTTTCAAGGTGATTAATAACCACCATCTGCAGGTGAGTTTTGCTATTTGTCCATTTATCACCTTTATGCTTTCTTACCCCTCTTAACTTCCACTGAGAAATTTAAAGCAGAAATTAAGTTAAAAGAATTCTGATCCTGATAAAGGCATAGGTCTCATAATTTTATATTTCATATGGATAAAAACACTCTAGTTGAGATTTTATTTTATAATTAAAATAGTTGAAAGGGTATGCATAAGTATTTGTCAGCTTTTTAAAATCTATTATCTTTTAATAAACAAATTTGCATACCCATTTTGTACTTTTATTATGAAATGTATTGCATTTTCCAAATTTTCTTTTCTAACATGTAGCCTACTTAAGAATCAGAGAGATTTCTCTCACAAAGGGATAAAATAAGCTGGCCCATCAGCAGCTCTTGAAGAATTTAGTGTTAGAATGATAGCAGCAAATCGTCAGCTTTTCAAAGATCCCATCTAATCCAGTTCCCAGGTTAGGAGGTCAGGAAGAAAAAAAATTCCATCTTTCAAACACATGTGAAATAAAGTCTTCCACAACCACCAGTTGAGTGGAGTCCTATATGCAGTCTGTGCAACAGCACATACTTTTGGCTATGTTCACACAGTAAACCATAGAAACACACTGGCTCTGATGGCTACCCGGATCACACAGGCTGATCCAGTGTTTACTTAGTATAGTCGCCGGTGGCTTCTTCAGTCAGGACTTTAGAGATGCTTACCGTGCGCCCACAGTCCAGGAAGGACATGCCCAATGCAATCAAGCATTGCCAAATCTGAAAGATAAAATACAGCCGTCACCCACCAGCCCACTGCGACTGCGCACACTGTGCTGCTCAGACGCAAACCTGCTGGCTCCCTGGAGCCTCCAGCTTTGCTGTCGTCTGTCACCGAGTCATTCTCCCAGCCCCACAACCCCTTCAAAACATCCTGGAATCTGCCTTCTTCCGCAAGTGTCTTCCATACTAATTACTATACTGAGCTCCTTCTGCTCCTACTGTTTTGTGTTTGTAGTTTGTTTCTTTTGTTGGACTTGGGGTTCCCTGAAGACCACCTTTCTTACCGCTACCCTATTCCTCATGATGAGGGGAACGAATGATAGACTAATACAACTGAACAGTCTCCTAAGCTACTCCGTGAAGTGTATGTTTTGGAGCTAAACAGCAGTAACCCACTCTAGAATCAGCCCTCGGCCTTAAAAATGGTCTTCAAGAATCTCAATAGTCTCGGGCTGCCTGAGGACAGGTCGGCACCTTCGAAACCAATGTGCATGAAGGGAGGATTCCCTTAACTTGCACAGCGAATTTTAAAAACAATTCCTGTCAAAGACATAATTCAGTTACTTGGGTTTCCTGGGAGTAAGTCCCGAGATTATAGGGTCAGCATAATCTTAGTGCACCCAAGGTTTCCTGGGGAGCAAAAGAGAAGGGATGTATCAATCCAGGACACTGTTTTACAATTTTCACTAAAGTGATTTTCTCCAACACCTAACCTGTAGCAGACACTGACATGGGAACTAAGTGTTATACGGATCAGCAGTGGGTTTCCAGCCTCCATCCTTCACCGTTCTCTTCAGCAGATACGGTATAAATTCTGCTGTCCCTAATCCTACACCTTGTGTTTTTCAGAGAAACCTGTATACCACAGAAAGGTGGATTTGCTGTTGTTGCTACAGCCATTTTTCATTAATATAAGGAATGTTACAGAAAACTTGGAAAATAAAGAAAAGAATATGTCCATAATCCCGCCACCTTACAAGGACTATTACCATTTCCCTATAACTACTCAGATTTTTGAAAATTTTTTGATTATCTGGGTATACCTAATTTAGCATTCCTTTTCTGTGTGGTTGTATAACCATCATTTTTAAAATAATTCTAAAATAATTCAACGTGAGACTATCACTATTTATTTTCTCACTGGACAGCTATTGAGTGGCAGAGCTGAGAAGGGCTGTGGACCTACATGGGGTCCCCCAAAGCCCCGAAGTCACACTGCACGGCCCCCGCTTCGGCCCCACCGTGCGCCACCCCCTACTTCCCACACTGCTCCTCCTCTCAGTTCTGCGCTTTCTTCTAGGGAAGGACAGAAGTGACAGAAATAGAAAGATGATAGCTCTTAGGAACCAGATTTTACGGTTAAAAATACTGTTTAACCAAATACACACACACACACACACACACACACACACGGTTTAACCATAGCTGACTTAACAATTTCATGTAAATTATCTCAATAACCTAGAGAAAGGCTGCTGTGTGATCTTTTGGGTGCTTCCTGGATGTAGGTCGCCCCCGCCACCCCGTGCCACCCCTGACATCTCTGCCCCCGCCCCCTCCCAACTGGACTTACCAAGTAAAACACAAAGCTCAGATAAGCCACACTGACCACAGCAGCCACCACGTACAGAAACATGTGCCCTAGATCCTGGACATAAATCACGACAAAGTACATGTTGATGGAACAGATGATAAGGACCAAGATCCCGCCTGCAATCCTCCAGCCTCTGTAAAAGAATTGGCACAGTCACCGGTGGAGCGGTCCAGCCCGTCCACAAACAGCAAAGGACACTGCTTCTGGTGGGGTAGACAGGACAGGGGTAGCATTTCCAGAGGGCCATGCTCCCCTCCCAGGAGCGTGCCCATGCCTTGCCCTTCCCCCTCTTCTTCCCTCTCAGGTGCGCATCTGCTAAGCTCTAAGGGACCCCACGAGATGCACCCAGGGAGCAACAGGCAGCGGCAGACCCTCCCGGGCCAACCCCCGGAACCTGTCCCCAAGACCGCCTCTTCTCTAACTTTTCAGTGAGCCAAAGCAGTGCCGCCTGGGCTCTCCCCTGTTGCTTCTTCTCGCCTAAGCCCTTCTTTATTTCACTGTCCCCGGCTTTAATAAATGTATTTCCAAAATAAAAAATAAAAAGAACTGAAAAATCGTTCTTAGTATGTCCCATATTTGGTTAAATGAGCCAAAATTAGACACTGATAGGGACAAAGAAGGGAAAAACTACTATCAAATAACTCCTATTATTTAAGTCCCTAGAAATGCAACCTAAAAATGGAACAAGTCATGAGAGTCTCTAGGGATGCAACAAGTCATTGCAACTACCTTCACATCCTTTAAAGATGTATGTAAAAGGTTATCAGCTTAAACCCTTCTCATTCAGACCATTAACATGGAATTAAGATGCTGAAGCTAAAGAGTTAAACCCCTAAAAGCCAAATTTTCTTCCCCAGAAAATAAACATGTCCTTGCCTTCCTTTACTACCTTCACAGTCTCCCTTTTCCAAGCCACAGATTGAGGGGGCAGCACAAGCAACCGCCTCTCAGGCCCCTCTATGACCCCCTCTTCACCGGCCTAGTTGATAAAGATACCCGTGCCCCCCTTGGCTCTGGGGACTGAGAGGTGCACACTCACATTCCATTGGCAAAGTCACTCATTACCGGCCGCAAGCTCGTAAACGTGAGGATGGGTATGAGAGCAAAGGGAAGCTGGGGAAAAAAAATAACTAAGATCAGATGGGGCTACTGGAGGGCCCTGTATCACCCCAGAGAGGAGCACTGTCAGTGGAAAGGGAACACAGACCCTGTCTCACCTGCTCCGTAAGGAATCATCCTGTCGCCCCAAATGCTCAGGCACCACGCTGAAATCCGTGCAGCTATCATTAACCTACCACTGATTATGACCATAGTGTTTACAAACATTTGTACCTGCCTTGTCTTATCCTGCTTAGGACCGAGTGTCCTATATATCATTTAACATTTGCTTGGCTTGCCCTGGCTGTTGCAGCTCAGCAGATTGAGTACCGGCCTATGAACGGAGAGGTCACTGGTTCAATTCCCAGTCAGGGCACATGCTTGGGTTGCGGGTGTGAGAGAGGCAACCGATTGATGTTTCTCTCATACCCTGATGTTACTCTCCCTCTCTTTCTCCTTCCCTTCCCCTCTTTAAAAGTAACTAAAATATTTTTTAAAAAAATATTTGCTTGGCTTAATGAACAATAATTTTGTGTTCTACATATAATTATAGCTTATAAATCCCATTCAAAAGGCTTAAAAAAAAAACAACCCAAGTCATTTTGAAAAGCCTTTTAAATGCCACGCACTTCACATCTTGTACATTTACTGCAGACCAAGGCCATGCTTCTTCTTCTAAATTTTCCTCCGCACTTGGCATGAGGTCTGAAGCCTAAGGCAATACACAGCGCGGCCTGACTAAATGCAGCGTGCATTTCCCCAGCTCCCTCCTCACCTGTAAGCTCTGCAGAACGTTGAGGAAGTCATTCATCCCCGTTAGATGTTCTACATCTTGGAAAACAGCAACAAGCAGAGTGGGGATGATGGCAATAGAGCGGGTCAGAATCACTCGGGCAAAGCGTGACCATCTTAGGTTCAGGAATCCCTGAGAGAAAACACAGAGGCAGGATGAATGTCTGGAACAGGAAACTAGAAAGGTTTGGGGAGGCTCAGGCAGACCTTAGAAGCACAGGATCAGCAAGTAACAAATACACAATTTCCTTTTCCTTTAGTCTTTACCAGCCAACACAGCACCCACCTCCATGACGAACTGGCCAGAATAGGTTCCTGTCATGGTGGAGCTCTGTCCTGCAGCCAGGATCCCCACTGCCCAGATGTAGAGGGCAGCAGGCCCGAAGAAACATCCCAGAACAACACCCTGGAGAGGTGAGGGAGAAATACATGGCAGTGAACTGCTCTGACAACACCCAAACTGCATCTCTCTCTCCTTTGCCATGCACTGGGTCGAGCCACTGTCCCAGAAGCTCGACTCAGGTCCTAACCTCATTCTAAAAGCTTTCAACCTGATTTTTCATGGATGGTTCTTCATTCCTCAGCCTATTCTTTTCTCTTCTTCAGGCTTCTAAAGCCTTCATCTTCAACCTATATCTTAAATATATATATATGTATATATGTAAAAGAAAAATTCTACACTCCATTTCCCAAATGATACTGCTAACACACTATTTTATAACAGGAGCCCTGACGGGTGTGGCTCAGTGGGTTGGGTGTTGTCCCCCAGAGTGCAAGGTTGCCGTATGACTCCCAGTCGGGACACATGCCTGGGCTGCAGGTTCATCCCAGGTCGGAGCACATACGAATGACAAGCAATTGATGTTTCTCTCTCTTTCTCCCTCCCTTCCCCTCTCTCTAAAAATAAATAAATAAAATCTTTAAAAGCAAAAGATAACAAGAGTAAAAAGGTCGAATAAATTTGGGAAATACTGCATAAATACATATTCTACTCTTGGAGGTTCAGAATGTAACTGAGGCCCCAATAAAGAACATTTGACCAGGCATACATTCTATGATCACCCCAATTAATATCCTGTAGAACACTATGCTATCAACACAAGTATGGGAACTGCTGAAACGATTCTTTTTTTTTTCCAGCTGATCCTCTATTCCTTCTATCTAGTCCAAAATACTTGTCTAGCATCTGGCCTCTGAAATAAATGACACTCCAAAGAAGATATGCTCAGTTCTGAAATGAACCCACAGAAAAGACCAGATACTATGCCAAGGACAGTATCTGATTCAGGGACAACGGACACAAATCTGAGTAGGTTCACTTACCCCTTTGTAGATGTCCACAGTCAGAGTTGAGTTATCTTCAGGGAAAAGGTGAGTATGGGGGCTGCTGCTATTTCTACAGACTTCAATCTAGAAGAGAAAGCGGTTTAGGAGCAACTTTTATTTTTGAGGCAAGGACCAGAAAAGAGGTCTCCTACAGATCACACACAAGTCACCTGTGAGACACACCCTGGAGGTGAGACACCGGACGCAGGTAGTGATGGGGCATAAATGGGCAGCAAGTATCACTTGCACTCTTCCTCCATAATCTTTCTGGACCCCCATGTCATCAAAAATATTTACTGAGTTAGAGTGTACATTGTTGGGTCATTTCAAATGATAACGGGAAGAGAGTCCTTAACTTCAAATGTGAGAGGACGCCAGAATAGGGAGTCCTTAGTCAAAGCAGCTCCAGGAGCCTGAGGTACTATCAACAGGAAGTCAGGTGGTGATCAAAACTAGATAGGCCCTGGCTGGGTAGCTTAGTTGGTCAGAGCATCATCCTGAAACACCAGGGTTGAGGGTTCAATCTCTAGTCTGGGCAGGTACAAGAATCAACCAATGAATGCACAAATAGTGGAACAAATCAATATTCCTCTCTCTCTAATCAATTTTTTAAAAGTTAAAAAAAAGAAACTAGATAGGCAATCAGGAACTGGGAAGACAGAGAATTAAAAAATGACAAAACAGCCTCTCTTAGCAACAGTGTGTTTTGTTTGTTGACTCCTCCCTGCCTGTCCTCATCATCAAATGGCAGGAATGGCAAGCAAACTGGAAGTTGGTAAACAGGAAACAAAGGGCCAATCAGATGTGAAGCCACTAATGAAAGAGCAGGAGGCAATCTTTAATCTGAGCCGATCTCCCTCATCAGTCAAAAGCAGGGGAAAACGGCCTGGGCTTGGTCGGCCCCAGACTGCCGACCCTGCGCAGCGCAGGGACTGAAGGGACAGCACTGAGGCTACAGCTCTCCTTCCCCTGAGCTCCAAGTCACTGTCACAGTTTCCTCCCACATTCCAGCCTTCACATGACGCTTACGTTCACCGCTATTCATGACCCTGGCTTACTCACCACCTGCTGGTTGGTTTTCCAAAAAAATGCTTCGGCAAAGACTGAGACGACAAAGACATTGATGATGAAGGAAACAAAGAGAGCAATGCAGGATTCAATGAAAAAGTACTTATTAGCTTCTCGAACTTCCTCCTTTTTGGCTCGGTTTATCTGTCTGGACTGGAAAGATAATAATAGTAGTCATTTTTTTTTTTCTGACTTTTTGGAACAAGTTTCCTTGTAATATTTCAAGAGTTCAGAGACAACTGAAAGATTAAGAGGGCAAACAATGGACCAGATGCAATGTGTGAGAACTCGCTTTCATCCGCATTCACTAAGGAAGAACTTCCTGACCCCTGGATGACATTACGCAGTCCTCACACCGGCAGGAGTAATTCAGTGACTACTGAGTTCTCAGTTACTGTGGCTCAGAGAGCCACAAAATGTGCCCTAAGAAATGTATAACCTTAATTATAAAGGTCTTTGAAGTCTCCCAGCAAACAACGGTGTAAGACTTGACTGGTAAAAGGTTGGTTGGGTTCTTCACTCCCGACCTCCTCAAGGCCAGTCAGGGTTTAAAGATTAAAACACAAGAGACTTGGTGCACTTTCAGACCTTTTATGCAGAACTTTAGTTCCAGTTTTTCTCCGGAGGTTAGTTATCTCTGGTCATAAACCAGAGTCCAAGCATGTGGAGTTTATAAATGCCCAACCATGGAAAAATACCTTGCTCTTTTGGGGCTCTAACAGTTGTAAACTAAGTTATGTGTCCCTTGCAACTAAAGGAAAACACCCCATGACCTACCCAGGAGGCCACTGAGATAGAGGCCTTGCTCACCTTGACTAAGGCAGAATGCAGGTACATGTTGTGCGGCATGATGACGGCCCCCACGATGCCCACAGCCTGCTGGATCTGCGGCGTGCCACAGCCTGAACAGGACGGCACGAACATGCCCTTGAGTACTTCGCTCTGGTTGGGTCTCACTGTAATATACTACATACCAACATAACAACTAATTAGCCTTTACTGGAATATGAGACTGAGGGAATAACAGTACTAGGAAACACTCAGCATCCTTTACTGCTTTCCTTACACCTCCTTCCTCTTCAGCAACTACCTAGAATGATGAAGAATAAAGAAAAACCAAGCAGCATAAGGAGCTTGCTGCCAGAGATGAGAGAATTCAACACTGGGGTACCTGGATATTTTATATCATATTTTAGATACACCAAATAGATGTAGAGAGAACGTAATTAATATTCTAAAGACATAAAATGGCTGCTAAGGGCCTATTGATATTAATTTCACAGTAACTCCTATGAGACAGACCCAAGAATATAGTCAATTCTTAATTATCCACACTTAAACTTCTGTTCACCTATATTCATCTGAGTATCACTGTGTTTGCCCCTAGCATAAGCTGACTCATTCATAAACACTTTTCCCTGGTTCAGCACTTCTCCTGAAAGCCTTAGACCAAGCTGTATAATCTACCCATAGATTAGATATAGTTATAGAAGTCTAGCTGGGCCAATAAACAGACATCAGTTAAAATGGCCACAGAAAGGTGGTATTACTGCATATAGTGATACTTAGTCCTAGGAGTATCTGGGTTAGGGCCCAAACAGGAAGCACCCACCATATCCCCTATAGTTCAAATACAGAGAAAGTTCAAGCTGCAGTTGGTACAAACCAGAAGGAGCAGAAACAGACCCTCTCAGTTAACAGCCAAGAATCACCCTGTAACACCCTCTCTAACCCTCTCCAAAGCTGCTCCGTTGCCAAGATGGCCAATTTGGAACCAGGGGGTTTGGTCTGGAAGGTCCTAGAAAGTCTAGTCATTTTTGACCTGAGGGTCCCTGCAGACTTTCCTGGATAATAGTCTTTGTTATAGATAATATCCCTTCAAAATTGGCCCAAGTCTTAATTGGCTTTTTCTTTCTTTTCTTTTTTTCCTCCTGCTTTTACTTTTACTAACATTTTTTATTTTATGCTGAGTTTACTCCCGGGCTGTAAGTTTTGTGTCTTCAGTTTCTCCCAGGGTTATCTGATGCTCCAGTGCGACCTCCTCTTCTGGTTTAGAAACAATCTGCTTTTTCAGGAGGACCCTCTCAGCAAGGCAGGGAGAGTTCATATGGGTCAATCTGCCCACGAGCTCTGTCCGTTCTGTGCTGCATCTTGGGGGCTTTGTTCACCTGGATGTGCTCAGTGACCAGGGAATCTACATCTAAACCCTTAAGCTCTGCATTACTCTGCATTTTTAAGTGTGTGAAGCAAAAAGTCAGCACTCTTTCTGGGCCACCGACCCTGTGTCCAACCCCACTGTTTAGCCTGGACACACGTACCAACTGCACCAATGTCACAGTGAAATGGCACATACTGCTTCTGCAAAGTGACATCCCTTCAGAGACTCGATGGCTTTTCAGATACGCATACCCCTGACGGCCGGGCAGCCTCACAAGTGTTCTTAAAGTGAACTCAAAGATCTGAACCTCTTGATTTGCATGATTTTGCATGGTTTCTGGGTCAAGTGGATAGCAAACTATTTTCAGAGGTCACCTCAGGCCACTAACAAGGAGGAGCAGCAATTGGTTTTTTCTGAGCACATGTAGTACAATTAAAACCATCCCAGCATTACTCTTTTATTATAAAGGCAAAAAAAAAATTTTTTTTTGTTTTACAAAGCTAATGAATAGCCTGAAACACTTGCCTCGTATCCAAATGTGAGGGCCATAACAGTGATGAGAAAGCCAAAAAATGCTTCCAGCTTCCGCAAGCCTAAAGGGGAAAATGCAGCAGTGAGCTTGGAGGAGACAGACTTCCCCATCAGCCACATGACGGCAAAGTAGCTTATGTGTCTAACGTGTCCATGCCCAGTATGGTACTTACCATATTTGTCCAAAAAGAGAAATACAAAGGTATCTGCAATGGTGATGAGAACTCCACCCCATAGGGGAACCCTAGGTCAGAGGTAAGAAATGGAAATTAAAGAAAGAAAGGAAACATTGAGAAGCACTTTCATCCCAACAGCCCTCCATTAATGAAACATTTGGAGAAGCAAAGACTTGTGGGAGAGGAGACAGTGGCAGGAAGCCAGGCCTTGGGTAGCTCGGGATCACAGGACCAACTGACTAATATTCATTCAAACTTGACTGTCTACCACGTCAGACATTTCAGATATAAAGCTGAAAAGAATGGGTTTTCCTGTATCTCACTGTCAGTGGGATATTAGACATAAAAATAAGTAAGTGTAATATACAATAGTACACAAATAAAACCCACACTGCACAACGGCAGTATACATGACCCAACACAAGAACATGGAGATACAGAGCCGGGAGAGAGGAAGGTGGTCCCGGAACAGTTCCACAGGAAATATAATAAACTTGAGTAGAATCTTGAAAATTGAAAATGAGTTGGGTTTTTGTTTTTACATTTGCTTTAAAATCTAGCAAAAAACACTGATTACTTTCTACAGAGGAGCCCCTCACCTTCCTACGGACAGGAGATTGATGGCAATGGCTGAGCCAATAACTTCTTGCATGTCTGAGCCAATGATAGCCAACTCCACCATCAGCCACAGGATAATTCGTGGGACCTAAATATCAAACAGAAGAAAGACGTGGTTCTAATGAATCATTTCTAAGAACTTCCCCCATAGTTCGGAATTCACATTTTGGAACTGACCCATAAAAAGCCCCTTATAAGCCTTCAGTAGAGACAAAGTACCAGGAATGGGCTCCACTTGCCCCATCACCGCACTGCGCGCCCTGGCTAGGGGAGGCAAGGGTGCTTTTCTGTGCCAGGGCTTGTGAGTCAAGGTCTGGGCAGCCAATGATACTAATTGCTTCTCTTTTCTTTCCATTCAGGAGAGGAAAAGAAGTTCCATTCATTCATTCCCACTTTATTTCCTGCCTAAAAGCAATCCAAGCAATCCTAAAAGTCTTACGGGGATATCGCCCTGGCTGGTGTGGCTCAGAGAACTGAGTGCCACCCTGTGAACCCAAAGGTCACCATGCCTGGGTTGCGGGCCAGGTCCCCAGCTGGGGGCATGCAAGAGGCAACCAATGGAAGTATCTCTCACCCACTGCTGTTTCTCTCCCTCTCCTTCTCCCTCCCTTCCCCTCTCTCTAAAAGTAAATACATAAATAAAATCTTAATTTTAAAAAAAGGATGTTAATATGGTCCAAATATTGTTCAGGAGAGAAAAGAAAATGACTACAGAAGAAAATATCGATCCTGACTTCAGCTGAAGAGACAAAACAAATGTGAAAAGGCTGGGGTTATCCCTTTTCTTTTTTAATTGATTTTTAGAGAGAGCGGGGAAGGCGGGGAGGATAAAGGGAGGGAGGGCGAGAGAGGGGAGGGGAGCAGAGAGAGATTTGTTGTTCTACTTATTTATGTACTCACTGGATAATTCTTGTATGTGCCCGCACCAAAGACTGAACCCTCAATCTGGCATATCAGGGCAACGCCCTAACCAACTGCACTACTAGGCCAGGCCTGGGGTCATCCTTAATGTTAACAGGAAAGCAAGTGAAAAAGGACAGTTAAGCAAAAGGACTCAGAGCAAAGTGGTTGGAATTGGGGACTATACAACCAAAGAGTAAACTAATCTGGTCAAACAATGCAGGTGAAAGATAAGTTTAGTTAATGCTGGCTCACTGAGGCCAGAAAAAGAATACCTCCAGGTATCTACTACCCAAAAGTTTGTCACAAAAAACAACTGTTAAGATAAAGAAGCTAAGAGAAATTATACATTACCAAGTTTTTCTTTTAAGAAACATATAAGAAAAAAAATAATAAGGATACTTTCTCAGAGCCAAGAAAGGAGATTAAACACTTCGGCAAAGCCAGAGTAGCTCAGTAGTATCTTATTCAAAGGTGAAGCCCGGGGAGAGCTGCCTTCCAGACACAGGCCCCACCCTTGCCTGAGGCGGCAGGAAGAAAGGCCCCAAGTGTCCAGGCGGAAGCTCTACAGGACAGAGTGACATCCAGGGTCAGGGTAAATTGAAAAATAATCATTAATAAATCCAAAGATCCTGCCACAAATAATTTGTGTTATACAGAAGAAACTTACTTTTTTCCAAATTGATGGCAAAGTCAAACAAAAAGAAAATATATATAATGCAAAGTGATAGAGCAACATGAATGTATGAATAACGTGCTTAGAGCGCCCCGCCCCTCCACGCACTGGGCACTACTAGGTGCCAGAAGGCAGAGGAAATGGTCATGTTTACTTAACAGAATTTTTCTAAGGAAGTTTTCTGGAAAAAAGTGAATCTCAAGTGAGATTTTTAAGGAGTATAAAGAAGCGGCTAGGCAGCAAGAAGGACCTACAGAACTTCCCCTATAGGACTCCCGGTCTCCACGGCCACGGGCCCCACGTCCTTCACTGTTTCAGTGCACAGCAGCAGGGCCAGCACACAGGTTCCTAGGACGCGAGTGACAAACAGAACAGGACATCGCTCACCTTGGGATACTGACGGTGACACACTTCGGCAAGATGCAGCCCAGTGACCACTCCCAGCCTCGCTGCAAGGCGCTGCAGCAGGAGTCCCACGATGGTGGCCAAGAGAAGAACCCAGAGCAACTAGAGAAGAACAAAATCCCACCGTCGCGCTCATTAGACAACTGAGGGGTTTTTTTGCTTGGGTGTTTGGCAATGTGAATGGGAAACACCACATTCAGGAAAGGGCCCAGGTCAGGAGTCAAATGACCTGAGTTCTGTGTCGGGTTCAGCACATAACCTGGTGCGTCTCCGTGTACCTCTCTGAGCCGCAGTTTCTCCCATCTGCAGTTTTTCCTTTATTCAAGGAAATGATGTGGATGAAATAAAATAAAAAAAACAAATGGGGAAGTACTTTTCACCTAAGTGTCACTGCCAATGAAGGATCTGCCTGCAGATCCAGAAGGCTGATATCCAACAGGCAGAGTAGAGGAAAAGGACGTGGAAGTGTGTTGTGTGTGTTTAGAAGAGACACGGGTAGGACCAGATGTTTACCTTAAACCCAGCCACTGCTCCAGACTGCAAATCAGATTCGATGTTTCCTGGATCCAGGTAGGCAATGCTCATAAGAAATCCTGGTCCCGTGAAAGCCCAGAGTTTACGGAAGCTAAAGCAAGAGTACTGCAGGAGAGGAAGAGAGAGAACTGATTATCACCTCCAAACTTCTGATCTATTTTATCACATACAAAACCAAAAATATCAGCTTCACAAGAACAGAGGATTTAGGATGTTGGAATGTGGGTGTGTCCAGGTTTCCCTTCCATCTTATCCACTTCTAATCAGTAAGCTGGCACTTCTCTGTCCAAGTAAGTGCCCCTTCCCTGACCTGCTCTTCTCCATCAGCCTCTCATCTTAAAACCAGACAAACAGTATCAGTACCTCTGTGGCCAACCACTATCCCAATTGGACAAACCCATTGTAAGAAAGGAACATAGAACTCCAACTTCCTCGATCGAAAAGTGCTCACTAAGACGCCCCCTGGCTGGTGTGGTTCAGTGGACTGAGTGCCACACTGAGAACCAAAGGGCTGCTGGTTCGGTTCCCGGTTGGGGCACGTGCTTGGGTTGCAGGCCAGGTTCCCAGCAGGGGGCATGGGAGAGGCAACCACACACTGATGTTTCTCTCTTTCTTTCTCCCACCCTTTCCGTCTAAAGATAAATAAATAAAATCTTTTAAAAAAAGAAAGAAAAGTGCTAAGACAACTTGGCAACTGTTTTCAAGGTCCTCATTTTCCTTAACAGTTTCTATTTATTCTGATTACAAAAATTCAGTCCTCAGAGACGGCGTGCCAAAATTAGATCTGAGGCTGCTGATCTTGAGCTGTGCAGCAAGCTTTCCACTCACGTTCTCCCTACACAATAACTCTTTCTTCTGAGGACCTGCCACTAACCTCCGCCTCAGGAATGGCAATCTTCTCATCAAAATAGGTGGTGAAGGGCTCCTCTGAGTTCCCGGTGGATCGCGGAAGAGAGGAGTCACTGTAGGCAGGGTTGATGGCACCAAAACTGCCAGAGTCCCCATGGTCATCTGAAGCATCATCTAAATGACCAGATTTGAAAAGAATTTTTTTTTAATGAAAAAATACACCAACAGGTCATCCTTAGTAATACTGAAATTAAATCTTTATAATACCTTAAAGAAACAAGACCAACCTGACTATACTTCAATTTATTTCTAATGCTTTACTTTTATTTATATTCTTAATAAATTAATTTTTGACTAAGCAATATATTCACATGGATGCAAATCTGAGAAATACAAAAAAGCTCCCTCACCCCCTTCCCCAGTCACACGGCTCCAGCTCAGTGTTACCACTAATCTCACAGTGGTTTTCCTACTCTCATACTTCTACCCCAACTTGGCAATTTTTAGAAGCATGTCATTTTCTTCTAAAAACACTTATGTCTAGGGCTCAAAATATAACATCTCCAGACTAGCCTCATTGCTCACCTGAAGTCCTAACTTTTAGAAGAAACTAAGGCAGCCTAGCGAGACACACTCCATCACTACTCCGCCCGCTGTCTGGCAGGGCTTACTCAAAGAGACATCCTTGGACCTTACACCTCCGTTGGGTTCCTCAGAAAATGTGGAAGTTGCAAAATCTGCCACAGTTCAGGCTAAAATCAGAAGCTGCAGGGAAACCACCAAGCAGGAACCCCTTCGCCTCCTGACTAAGCCCTGCAGTAAGGAACTTCGGGTCGCAGGGGACCCTCGTGAGAGGAGGGCTCATCTAAGACTAGTGCGTCAGTGTTTCCGAGCCTGGCATTTTGCAGTTAATATTAAATGCAGGGAAGAGAAGGGGGTAGGGCCTGGAAGAAAAGGGTGAATCTGCCAGAAAGATACAAAACCCAATGTGCTGTAGCCATCAAATGGCTATTTCAAAACCACAGAGCTCTAATCACAGCATTTCCAAGAAATCCTTACAATCTCCAGTTACAAAAACAAGAGTAGGAGCTAACTCATTTTACCTAAGTGACTCTGAACTGATTTTTAAAAATTATAAAAAATGCCCTGGCTGGTGTGGCTCAGCAGATTGCGTGCTGGCCTGCAAACCAAAGGGTTGCCGGTTCGATTCCCAGTCAGGGCACGTGCCTGGGTTGCAGGCCAGGCCCCCAGCCAGGGGCGCACAAGAGGCAACCAGATATTTCCCTCTCTTTCTCCCTCCCTTCCCCTCTAAAAATAAATAAAATTTAAAAATATTTTAATACATTTATTAAAAAGGAGTGGAAATTCTAAAGGAGAAATTTAGAATTAGGAAGGATTGGTCAAAGCAGTCAAGAAGCTCTAATTGAATACACAGTATAAGGTGCACGCTCAGTATTTTACTGCTCCACACAGATATCTGAAATGCTATCAGCAACCAAAGCAGTCTAAGGTTTTTATGACAGTTCTGTGAATAATATTGCCTTTGCAAGCATTACTGCTATAGAAACTAAACTCGTAGCTAATCTTGGCTCAGAACTGGAAACAAGATGAGGCAGGCTTCTGTGGTTCTAAATCCATTTTCATTTACAGCCTAAGTCACCAGATGGTAACTCCTGAATAGAGCGGGTCTCCATAAAGATACTGTTGGCTAGGGAATAGGAAATGGGGACAACTTTTGTTGGACTGGACCACAAGAAGAAAAATACGGTGAATTCTGTTACTGACTTAAGCCTGGCCTAATTCCAAATAAAAATAGACAATAACACAAAAAACTGTATATTACCATCTGACATCTTCTGTCTCCGACCCAACACCATGGTGTTCTTAGAATAGGATTCTGGAAAGTAGAAAAGGGAGGGAAAGGAATTAACAAGAACAAACTAACAAGTTCAAAAACAGCATTTTGTACTTTGTACAACCTAACCCTTATTATATGAAAAGAACCATTCTTCTACTGAATTAGATGACCTTGAAAATAATTAGTTTTCATAGTATGAATAAGATATATTTAATAAAAAATGTAAGTTTTAATCATGTTTTTGCTGGCAAGACTCAAAACCAAACTGAAGCAAATAGGATTTCAGGGAAGCAGGCGAATGCATTCGTCTTTAGAAGCAGGTTGTCTATGAATAATTCAGCCCCAGGTTCCCCACCACCGAGCCCTGCGTGGGGGTAGAGGGCGGCCCCCTTTCTGGCCATGCCCAGTTTCCCAGAACCAGGACTCTGCACCAACCCGGTTCCAATGTGCGAAGCTGCTAGGCAATCACCCAGTCTCTGCTGCGCCTCCAGATTAACCCAAATTTAAAACCAGACTGATTTCTCCCCACTTCTACGAGTCTTTTTATTTTTATGTCCTTAATGATTTTAGAGACAGAGAGGAAGAGAGGAGGGAGGGAGGGAGAGGGGGAGGGGAGGGAGGGATGGAGGGAGAGAGGGAGAAATAAAGAGACACACACGCACACAGTCGGACAGACACATGTCAATTTGCTGTTCCACCTTTCATGCCCTCACTGGTTGATTCCTGCACGTGCCCTGATCCGGGATTTAACCCTTTGGCGTCTGTATCCTTGGGGAATGGGGAGGACTCTCCAGCCAGCTGAGTTACCCCACCAGGGCTATGAGTATTTAAGGGCACAGATCTATAACCCTCTTTGACCTAACAATTTAAGGTGAGAAATAGAGTGAAGAAATAAAAAGGAGTCACAGATTCAAGCTGCTAAATCATTAACTCCAAGTAGACCAAGGCATCAAAACAAAAAAATTATTCTTGTTTTTACTGACTCTGGGAACTTAACCTTTTGAAGTTTCCTGTCCGACCCAAATATATCAGTGCATTGTGCCTTTCATGCCTCCATCTAGCCACCTGAATGACCTCAAAAAGAAAATGTTCTAGTGTCTAAACCACTGGACATCTGAAGATTACCATCATGGACCAACGTCGGGGCTAAGAATGCAGAACTGATTCTTCTCAAGAATGAACTTTTTACTACAAAACTCTCAGACTTTTCTTTCTCCTTGGGAACAAGTAGTTGGGAGGTTTTGATTAGAAATAAATGACAAAGACTTCTGCAAGGGTCGTATGCTCCAATTTCCTGGAAAGGCGGGGGAAGCACCATATCCGCACCCTGGTAGTGGAGGGGCACACTTTCCCAGCCTCCCTCCTATGTCCCTGAGGAGGGATTTCGGGTGTGAGGTCTCATTCCCCCCGCCCTTCAACAACTGGGAGGAGAAACTGAGCTAGGTCCTCCTCCCCCAGGCTTTCAGGGAGAGCAAGGCAGGTCTGCAAGACACAGGCACTTCTCTTAGTCCCGCAATAAGCAACCTGTGGGCATGAGGAGGTGTCTGAAATGTCCAGCATCCTGTTGGGTTAAGGTCAACTGTGGGGGAGGGGTATTAGAAAGCCCGTTTGGCCACTGATTTATGGTGTGTTCTCCAGAGAACCCCACCACCACGGCTGATTTTTTTTAATTTCAATCTACTGATTAAGGAATCTACTTCTCAGTCAATTCCAAATTCAGAAGGAGAAAGATGGGGTAATATCTCATCCCAATAATTACTATCCTACTGAAAAAGATATAAAGCCTCCCCTTAGCTATCTTTTACTGCTTAAATTGTCTTTTTCCACTCTTGTCCCTTTGTTCTTCCTAACTGAACGGTCCTCCACTTTGTTTTAGATAAACCTATCTACCCACATATTCTGTACTATACCAATCTTACAGAATTAGAGAATTCAGTCTCAAGGAGGGTTTTAGGTTTCATCTATTTTCTGGGCTGTAAAACATACCACTACTTGCTAATCTGGAAAACATTTTCATCTTTACAGTAACCAATATCAAATATTCTGTTCTAACGTACTACTAGCCACGTCCCTCCTATCAGGCTTTGAGCAGCCAGATGGCTCAACAGCAGCCAACAGACCACAGCGACACTGACTGAATCCAACCCCGCCCTCAGCCAGTTACAAGAGCTCCCAGGCTAAGTGGGATTTACACGTCTGACGACCCAGAGCTGCAGTAGCCACTTAGCTTCCAATCGCAGCACAGCCCCTTGGCACCACTGAGAGCCTTCTAACTTTTACTTTACATATAATTCTAAGAAGTCAGGTACTCAGCTTATCCAAACTGACGATAAATTAGAAACTGCAGATCAGCTCTGGGACTAAGGCTCATAAAGGAAAAAGTCTTGGGCCATTTGGTATGAGGCAAACAGCCCTTCCTTATATTTCCATCAGCTCTGAAAACATTATTCTTAAGAATAATGATATATTAATAGCTCAAGTTTCTTAATTGTGGCCTATTCACCAAGAACTGCTTACGTTAGATTACTTTTTGTAGTGATGAATAATATCCTATTTAAGAAGACACAGAAGTGCCTTACACATTTGAGGAAGATTCCTATCCAAAATAGTCTACTTAACCTATATTTAAAAAGCAAACAACTGAGATAGTAGTGTGTTTTTCCCCAAGCCTGCAGCGTTTAAACGTGATAGTTAAATATTGGGTTGACCAAAAAATTCATTTAGTTTTTTCCATACAATGGCTTTAGTGGTGCTTATCTGTCTCGAACTTCATTCGAAACAATTTTGTTAGATTGTATTGTGACAGCTGTCATATCAGTGTACATTAAAAAAAGCGTATCAAAATTGGTGAATTTTTGTGCAGCCATTTTAATATTGAAGATGGAAGAAAATACACAACATTTTCAGTGTATTATGCTCTATTACTTCAACAAAGGTAAAAATGCAACTGAAAGTCAAAAATAAGAAAAGAAAAAAAGATTTGTGCAGTGTATGGAGAAGGCACTGTGGCTGAATGAACATGTCAAAAGTGGTTTGCTAAGTTCCTTGGTACTCTGGACATTTTGGCCAAATAACTCTTTGCTTGCAGGACTGTCTTATGCATTGGAAGATGTTTAGCAGCACCCCTGGCCTCTACCCACTAGAAACAAATAGCAGGAGAGCGCCGACATACTCAAAGTATCCAAATCAATAAAGTTACTGGTGGAAATGAAAAATGTGTCTTTTATGGAAAAAACATAATGGACTTTTTGGCCAACCGAATAATAACTTTAGACATAAATATTTCTTCTTAAATTTTTTAGAGAGAGAGGAAGGGGAATAAGAAAGAGAAAGACAGACATCGATTTGTTGTCCCACTTATTTATACATTCATTGTATGTGCCCTGACTGGGAATCGAACCAGCAACTTTGGCCTATGGGTACAATGCTCTAGCCAACTGAGCTACCCGGTCAGGGCCAGAAATATTTCATGATAAAAATTGTAACAATGAGCCCGGGCTGGTGTGGCTTCATTGGTTGGGCATCATCACACAAACCGAAAGGTCACCGGTTCGATTCCCAGCTGGCACAAGCCTGGGTTGCGGGCGGGGTCCCTGTCAGGACGCATATGAAAAGCAACAGATCGCTGTTTCTCTTTCACACTGATGTTTTTCTCCCTCTCTTTCTCCCTCCCTTCCCTTCTCTCTAGAATCAATTTTTTTAAATATTTAATAATTATTATTAGTATTCTGATTATTCCTATACTAATTACATAGAGGGCCAGTAATATAAAGCCTGGTCTTCTCTCTGAAATCTCAGGAATGTATTATTCCAACAGAAAAATATGGTTTCTAGATTCCAACTTTCTCATTCATACTTTTCATCAACAAACTATGTGCTCCATTGTCCGCATTGTACACAGAACACAACTGGGGTAGCGAGCAGAGAGGGTCTGTTATGCCTGGTGTGCTTGCTGCACAGTATTTATGTCTCCATGAAAATTTCAAACACATATGGAAGCAGTAAGTTAAAAATTTTTAAGAGAAAGTTTATTTAGAAAGTTACAGAGGTAGTAGAAGCAAGCCCGCGGGGCTGAGCAGGCTCAGGAAACACGTTACAGGGGCAGAAGATGGGCCCTTGGAGCTCAGGAGAAAGGCAAAGGTTAATGCTGGGGGGGGGGGCGGGGAGGGTAAAGGTGCAGGTGTGCTCCCAGGGGAGAGAGTACCTCAGTTAATATTAAGACAGTTTTGCTCTCTAAGGCTGTACCACCAGGCCATTTCAGTCATTTAATTACATCAATGAAAAAATGAAGTTGAGATATAAGCAACCAGAATCAACTCAGCAATACTTCAGATAATCATGATGAATACTGTTTTGATATTCTAGATCCCCTCAACCATAAAGTATCACCTTCTCTTACAGCCACTAAGTTTCATAATATCAAACAGCAATCAACGGAAAAAATGGCACTCATGGTTAAATGTAATATAACTACTTTATCCTATTCCTCATCAAAAGTTGTATGACTGTTTTACAGTAAAAAAATGCTAATAAAATTATATTTTCTATCTAAAATGGCAAAAATCCACATATCCTTTGACCCAGCAGTTCCACGTCTAAGAATGCATCCTAAAGAAACACTCACATAAGGAGGTATGTGCAAGGATATTTCCCATAGCATTGTTTGTAGTATCAAAAGACTGTAGCATCAAAAAACAACCCAGATATTAGCAGTGGACTGGTAAAATAAACTATAATATTCATATGATGGAATACCATGCAGCTACTATAAATAAGGGAGGTCTATAGATATTAGTAGGAAATAATATGAAAAATATCCAAGATATGTTGTCAAGTAGAAAACCCAATTGATAAGACAGTATGCTATCATTTATGTAGAGAAAAAGAGAGAGAGAATATACATACATACATGTACATACTATCCACGTACACATACACACAATCTCCAAAGGACAACAACGAAGCAGAGGAGCACAAATGAGGTGAGTAAAATGAGGACTTCTCACTGATCATATACGACATACCATTCTGTTCTTTAA